ACGACTCCATCCGGCCAGATCTAGCGCACCACTGATACTGCGTATATGCGATGGTGTACTGCCTGGAAAAACAACTAATCACTCGAACTATCGAAGATGCAATCAATTCAGCTGAAACACCTAGGAACAACGGATAGATAGTGTCGGGAATGGGTTAATTTAATCGCTTCCGTGATTGATTTATGAAACAAAACACAAAATCTGCTGTGAATGAATGAATCAAGAAACAAAGATTATAGATGGAACGGCACTCACCATCGATGTCAACAAAGCCGTATTCTTGTCCCAAATCCGACGTTAAAAGAATACGACCGCTTTTCTTCATCACATTCTCATCGCATGCCAACGCAACCACACCACGTCCCACAAATTCCGGTGTTTCAGCATTTTTGTAGAACCGTTCAGCGAGATCCTCAACATTCACTACCATATTATTCGTAATACAACGGAAATTACAAAACAAAAGCTCTGATAAGATGCACGAAATCAAACTGGATGAACTCATCTAGGAGACCATACAGAGGCACTTCTATTATGATCAGTTGATGGGTGCTTACTACAGTGATGACTGCTAACGTCTGAATGTAATGTTACAGTTTAGAAATTTGGAAATTGCTTAGGTTCTGTGACTCAATAAAATGACATTCTTGTTGAAAGGACTGATGACTGTAATTGTTAATGGCATGTTGAAATTCTCTTGAAAAAGAGACTCGCAAATGATGGCAGTGGCTTGCTTGATTAGTTCTGATTCGGAGCAATTAGGATTGGCATAAGTAATCGAACCTGCTTGATTTCCATACCACTCAGTTCAGATAATTTTCCCGAATCAACCATCTTCTTGAACAGCTCAGTCTTGACGGCACCTGGCCAAAGCGATACTGAACAAATTCCATCGGATTTCAACTCAACGGCCATATCAGTGGCCATTCGGTCCATCTGCATGAGGAATAAGTGAATGTCGAATTAATTTCCCAATCCAAACAAACTTGCTATTAAAAAGAAATCCTTATGAGATACTATCTGGATGAAAGCATACTTTGTTCACGACCTGGTACGGGCCAATATAATCAAAAATGACAGATAACAATGATCAGTCGGTCTTTCAATCTCAGAAACCGCATCAAAATATTACCCCGGCCTTTCCAACTCCGTAGACGACATTGAAGAAGTAATGAAGACCGCCAGTTGAGCTTATGTTCACGATGAGGCCTCTTTTCTGAGGTACCATCAAGCGTGCCGCATAAACACAACAGATGTACACATTACGCAAACCAACGTTATTCACTTCATCCCATACAAGTGGATCAAAATCATAAAACTTCTTGCCTGCGCCTTCCAAAATACTCTGAAAATATCAGCTCTAAATTTTGGTGCATTCCAGAATCACATGCTGATTTGGATCCGTGATCCCGGAGCAGTTTGAATGGCAAACAACCAGTTTTGCAGTTGAAAATCATTCGTAAAATTTTGAATACATGCTCAGTTGTTTGAAGAGAATTACAGCAGTAAACATCACGATAACTTCAGTTGTCCAGATAGTGTGCATCGTTGCAGTCATGTCATATGAAGCTGAATTCCGATGGCTTTTCAAATGCATCTCCTATTTGTGGTTTTCGTAGAGTTTGGCTTATATACAGCACCACAGATTATAAACACGATGCACACTTACTTCGATATGAATGCTTGAGATTGAGCTAACGGCGTATTTGAAAATAAAACTAATGAATTTTGCAAACGGAATCACAATACCGGTGCTCCGGAGAAAGCGCAATTGACAAGAATATCGAGTTTCTGATCGCATTCTGACGCAACTTTGTCAAATAGCTTCTTAACGTCATCTGGATTCGAATGATCGCAATAGACCAGAACTGCCTCACCACCACGGTTCTTGATTTCTACAAAAATTTATGAGTGAATCAACTGCTTCAATACCTAAAACTTCATGAACGGAATCTTCAATGGTAAGTCATAATCGTGAGGATATCATCCATCTGGCAAAATTTTCTCAAAGTTTCAATTTATCAACTCTTCATCTACTAAATAATTTATAGCCTCTTCATAACCGGTCATCAACATTCTAATTTGCTACCTTCTATTGATTGTGAGCACTTTCAAATTTGAAAACACTCAACGTAAGGAATGATTATGATCCCTGAAAGGAACTGCTGATCTGTTGAGAACAATTGATGGAAAATATTCAATGAAGTTGGCAAATGAATTACCCTCAGCTGTGTCATTCAACGATGGAAGACCCTCTTGTTGAGCCGCGTAGGATTTTGACGGCTCACGTCCTGTAATGTAGACCTTTGCACCGGCTTCACCGAGCTGAACAGCGATACCTTTGCCGATTCCACGTGATGCACCGGTCACAATTGCGATACGACCGCTGAGTGGTTTGGGTTTGTCGGTGAGGGGTTGCGACGACATTGCGGCTGTTGTCTACGAGATTTACATGAATGAACGACACTCATGCGAATAAATCGCATTATCAGCACAAAACAAATGCTCCTATGAAGTCTAACGTCGAATTCCCGAAAATTCCAACCCACTAAACGTTTTCATTATGAAGATTCGAACGTTTTCACTAGATTGTAATATTGTCTTGTAGAGTGGTCACAAGCGCTAACTAAAAAAGACTATCGATGAGAAATACGATTCGTTTCACTATTGGTGCAACTGTGACAAATTTCTCGGAAACGAAGACGTAGTCAATAGGCTATGAAAAATGACATTGATATGTGGTGTTCTACTAAAAGCAAAATCATAAATGTGATGTGCTGAGAATCAAAACAGTAATTTGATGGTTATAGGAAAATTTGAATAGATGAAAATTATTCGATGATGATGTAATGTCGTCATTTGCGTTATAAGCAGGCAAACGAACGAAGGTGAGTGAGACTATCAACCCTAATTGGAGTTATACATCGACAGACAATGTTCTCTTTGGTCTTGTGATAACAGAGGAAGAATACCTCATCTGGAATCTTATCATGAACATATCACATTCACTTATCAACATCAATACCAACCAATAACACTCTGCTGAAAGACAAATAATATCCCTCAGCAATTTCAGCCCTTTCCAACACTGTGCTATCTTATACAACAGGTTGAAACATTCCCTTCGCTAGATGAATTTACTAGTTGTAGTTTTGACTAACATTCGTTGGAAATTGAAGTGTCAACATGGATTCATTGCGTGATCTGTGCTTATTTGAGTTATGGCGTGTTAGAGTAACACTGAAGTATGGATGAGGTACAATTAGTAATACTCACAATTGTAAATGCGGTGAACGATGTTGCAATAGCAGTGTACTGGAATCGATTTCTGGACGATGCGAACGCCGAAAGTGTTGGATAGCAACGCTTTATTGAACGCACAAATAGAACTGTATAGAAAGCCATCAATGTGGTTATCTTGAGTGTGGTTATTATCAGTAATATCAGCACGAGCTTAACAAATAAATTCGCGTTTGCTTTTACGGGTTGCAGATGAGTTCTCTTATGATTCAACACTCCATCATGGTTGAGGCATTAATAAGCTTGTGTAAACTAGGCGTAATTACTAAACATATAAGACGATACGTTGAAATTTTCATAAATGAACAGTGAAACTGGTTGAATAAAGCAACGAATTTGTGGAATACTTATGATTACTGCAGCTATTATTTGTCGTTATGATTGGTTTACTCTAACTGGAACACCGTGAAACTTTCCTCTTCTCCAATCAGTTCATCCGCATCAAACACTAACTAACTACTGCGCTAACTGCTGCTGTTAACTTCCTCGTTCTTTATGCACAAGATACAACATCGTCTTCATTCTCAATATCTCCATCATAACAGCAACAATTATATGCACCTTATCATACGCATCACTGTTATGCTCATTTGCCACATTTCTATCAGCAAATCAAAACTATATTCATTCCTTAATTGTAAACTGTGAATAAGGTGATAACTAGTGAGATCAATACGTAAATACACCTTGATATCGTTTCAAAGTGATGAATCAACGAAATGGAAGTGGAACAGAGCATTATTGCTTTTATTGCGTTGGGTTCGTTTATAATATGAATGAATCAAGTAATCTAATTATAACTTTTAAGTAATAATGTTCATATTGCCAAGAAGGACAGGCTCGGTAATCTATAAGCTACGGACGTGATATCATCACACGACATTCATCCACTGCTACCAGATAAAGGAATCTAACGATCGTGCACAGGTGCTGTGCAAATCCGTAAACTCTGGGAAAAATGTTAAGAACTGCAACCGTATACAAATGAATTTGGTACTGACAATAATATAGCAATAACAATAACAAGTTTACATTGAACTGTTGGTATGAATGTGATTTTATCGATTGATTGCGACAGTTTACTGTTGATTGGTGACATTGCGCACAGTGATCATCCAGAAAGCAATCAACAATCATATCAGAGATCAATTTGTGCTAGTAACGCAGCGATTGCCTTGAATGAGCATGCTCAGGTGTCGTGATTCAAGCTAAAAACACTCGTTCAAAGCACTGAATCGAAATTGAAGTGCTGATGTGAAATCAACTCAAATAAGACACATGGAAGGTTCTGTGCGGCTAATGAATAAGCTCCACTAATGGGGAGCGATAAATAGGATTTTGTAATGTGCTAGCTGTAACGGCTTTATTTTGAGTAGTTCTGGTTGATTTGAGTAATTATTTTGCAATTTCAATACCTTTTGTACGGACACGCAGTCAATTGGTTTTAAATGCTTTCATTCGCAGAGTTGAAATATGATCATTCTTTAGTCAGTATAACTAATATATATGTCAGAGTTAGCAATTGCTTAGTTAATAATGAATAAGTTAATATGATTAAAGAGGAGTCAAATTTTATCTCTTTATGGTCTATGATATTGGTGATAAGAGAAATACGCAAACTCGTGATGAGTTCTAATTGCTGACTGAATAATAACCGAACTGTAAATTGCAAGTGTGATATAGTTTAGAATTTTGCTACCAGAACATTAGCACCTATTGCGATTGCTTGAAAACATGACATTAGATTCAATCTAATGGCAAATTTGTGAATGTATAACAGACTGTGTGCAAATAATTAAATGCAACATTAATAGTAGCATTTCGAGTTGTAATAATTTAATAATAGCATGAAAAGAAAGTGCGGAACTATCACACCAAAAATATAATCACAGAGTACTCAAATTTTATTCCTTTACAGTCTGTAATATAAACAACTGAGAATTGCAAACGTGATATAGGTTAAAGTGACTCTGTTTTGATACCACACAATTAGTATCCGCTAATGTTGCTTAAAAAACATGACATTGTATTCAATCTGACGACAACAGACTGTATGCAAATAATCAAACGTAATATTCGTAGTAATGTTTAGAGTAGTATCAATATAATAATAGGAGTAATTTCTTATGAAAAGCAACTGTGAAAGTACAAAAAATACGCAAAATCTATTCATTCACTTACTAACTTATAAATTATAATGATGATGCTTTGTAGCGAAAAAACTCAGGAACAATTACAATAGCGTAAAAATGCGTTGAACTCGTGCTGAGATCAATCATTTTTTTTGTGTTCAGTCTTCGTTTTAATGTTTACACAAACATTCTCAATTAGCCGTTTCAGTGTGAATTGTTGTCACCCACCGCTAAAACTAACAACATTCTCGCTGAATGCCCCATTCATCAAATATTTATGCAATGCACAATTAGAAATCATTCACACTCTGCACCGTTTCCAACAACAACCAAAAAAAACTGTCGCACAGCATTTTATGCAAATATTGCAAATATTATTATGTATTCATACAGCAATGAAGTCTTGAATGGTCTTTGCAAATTTCATCGTATGATAAACGATTCGGGAAAACAATGGCACTCATTTGTCAATATTGTCAGTTCATCAGTTTAGAGTTGTTAGCAAGAAATGAATTTGCAGTGGACTTGCATCAGAAGTGTAAATGAGATGTGACCAATTTGAGGTATTAATAAACGCTTGTTTATCTCAGAAGCACCCAATCAGTTGTCCGTTTAAGCATCACTTTATTAAGCAGTTGATTTCTAACACTTTGGTACTCAACTCTTTCCGATGCGATCAGAAGAATGCGATCAGGTGCGATCAGAAGAAGTAATTCAACGCGATCAGAAGCATCTAATGCATTCATGAAGCTGCGATTCACTCCACGATACAGATTTTTGTTTTTTAAACTAAGAAACTCGAGCAACGATAGGTGAGTACCGTTTAGTCCAGGGATCCCCAGAAGGGTGAAACTACTCATTTTTGTGTAATTTGGGGATGTCAGGGGGTAATGGAGAAGATCTAGAAATTATTTCTGATGTTATACGTAGAAATTGAAAATTGTTGAAGTGACAAAGGAAGGGGTGCAGATAATATCGGCCTTGCAGATCGTCGAGGGGGCGGGGGGTGG